TGTGAAGACAAATTAGTTAGCATAAATCAGTTAAATGACAAAAAATTAGGTGTCTAGTTACTTGTGACCACGCTGTGTATATATACATACTTGGTTTGATTGTATTGACAAGTAACATATAGGGTACTTCCACTTTCATTGCTTTTTCTACATAGAAAGTTATTGCATAGCATTGATGTAGTTATAGGGTTTTTCTTGGTTGATATATATAGTATATGTTCAGGTGGGGTTATGTTTGTTTCTCAATGTTTTATAAAGTCAGGTATATGTATGCTATCTATAAAACTTTTTAAATACTACAACCCCTTTGTAATCTCCCCAAACAATGTAGAGAATATATGTCATATTATTGCAAATAATATAAATTTGTGTTAAAAATAGTGCTATAATATAGTCTCCTTAATGAAGTATCAAAGTTAAAATGTCCCAGTAGTATAGCACTAAAAACACTGGAACTGTACTTTGATTCCCAAGAGTGCAGCACTTAAACCACCAGAACTGGGCTCTGATCCCCATTTACATTTAGCTAATTTGCCACAGAGATGGGAAAGAAGTTGTTCTGAACCTACAGGGAAAGCTTTGAGATGCCTTGAATTATGACTTTGATGTAAGTTGTTCCTTGGAAAATTGTACATCGAGCAAGATATGGAGAATAATAATGTTAGTTTTCTGCTTTGAGACTGTGATATTTGAATATGCCATGTTTATCCATCTTCTTGTAATATTATATCATTCTGGATTTATTCTTTGTTCAGTATATGTTCTGGTTTCACATGGAAGGTGTTAAGTGGATTTTGTTCTAAACTAACTTTGTTATTCTCAATAGTACATGATATCTGCTATTGCCTGAGAATGATGTTGATCAAGACTTCATGTTGTGTGAAGATATCAAAATTAGTGTCTTTCAACAGCTGTTCAGGTGATATCTATATGGTATGAGCTCACCTATGTTGTAATGAGAATCACCCATCACATGAGTAGCATTACTCACCCTGGCTAAATGTGAGGTTTCTTGTATGCTAAGAAACATTACATTTTGATCAGTCTAGTCTGGAATATCCAGTCAATGTGATTATCCTGTGTTAGTAACAATGAGTACATACATTGTCTTGGTGTTTAGTGCTCTAATAAAGATTTTGCATTTTGTTTTACACTTTTGACCAGTCTTGTTAGTCATTTTAATTGTTTCAATTAGCAAAAAAATTAATATCACTCTGTAACCAATATCTTAAGCAGAATCTTTTGTTATCTAGTGGACCTAACTGAAATAACTCTGAAGCTTGTTTCTTTACATCTTTTCCACAAATTTACTTTGTGAGGACTCTGAGAATCTAAGTGGTTTGATTCCTTTTCTGTACCTGAATCATGTGCTCAGTTGTAAAAGTAGCTTTCATTTGTTTAGTAGCTTTCTGAGATACCACCTAGATATTGGTATTGATGACTTGTTTTTTCATCATTCTTGCTTGTTAGTGCCTCAACTGCAATTATTTGAATGCCATTTGTTCATTCATATGACTATCTTTGTGAGTACATGTTGCCTTTGGCCTGGAGAAGCTTCAACATTAACATATAAGAAGTTGTTCCCTTGTGAAGATCTACTTTATGCTGTTAATGTGGATAGGATTACATCTGAGATTTTACCTGTGTTCCCTGAAAATCCTTCAGGTCTTGTTTTGCATCCTCTGGAGAGTTTTCTTAATCATAAGATGGCAGGTTAGGTTACTATTTCACTCAAGGTGGATGCTGTCTCTGTCTTTCTTCCAGGTAGCCCATCCTTCTCAATTTGAGGTGAAGATTCTAGCAATATGTCCATCTCAAGGTACAGTAGTGAATTGTAAAATTAAAATCGGGTTTACATACATCCTTACAACCTCTTGTCTGGATGTTTCTAAAGAAGATGTGTCAAGAAAGACCCAGCCCTGCATGTAAATACTTATGGAGATTGCTGATTGATGAAGGGGCCTCTCATGAACCATACACACACACACACACACACAAACAAACAAAATTTGAGTAACATCATATTATGGTGTGGTAGGAAAGTTTATGATGAATTAGTTACCCATTTGTTTGGAAATAGGTACTTAATTGGTTTTGACTTTAATTCTAAAACAAAATTAGATGGATATATTACTACATTTAAAAGGTGATAATTTTTTCAGTTTATTTCTCAAAATTTAAATGAAAAACAATTTTCTCTCTTCTTTAGCTTTATAGATCCCTCTTTATTGCTTCCGTTTAACTCAAACTGAATCCTTTATTATTGTAAGATACAAAAGCATGTTGAAATAATGTGATAAAGAAAAACAGTATCTTCTATTAATTCAGTTTACAGAACTTGATGTTCAACTATATTATAAATTAACCTATTATCCACAAGAATGTTAGCTTCTACTTTTAGATATAATTTTAATATATAAGAAAAAGTCTAACAGCAGTAAGTCACTGTTTATTCCTTTTTCTAAAAGTTGGTAACTAAAGCAATCTGTATATTAAGGTACTTTATTCTTGCAAATAGTAGTCTTGCAAATGTTTTGCCATAATTGTTTTAGTAGAGCTGGTAAGCCATTTGTGCAGTTGATTTTTTTCTAATGACATTCCTAATATTTTATGATATCACAGATTTATTTGTGTATAAAATTGATTTTTCTGAAATAAGTCATTGTATCTAGTATTATGTACAGTTGTCATATTGTGAGAGTCTAAAGAGGTATTAAGGAAAGATGAATGATTCACTGGGGTTGAATAAATTTGACAGTTATAACGGTTTTTTGTTTTTTTCAAGGGAGAATACCTGAATCTACTACTTAGTGCAGTAGCTTCAAAACAATTTAATATTATATTCATCTTTAAATTGTTTCAAGTCAGAAAAGTGGAGAATTTGAAATTTTTTTCAGGTAATAGTAACATTATATTCTGTTTATTCCTAGCATCAGTAATATACTAAAGTTATGTGCACTTCTAAATTTCTAGGCTGAAATAGATGGTAGAAAAGAGACATTTCAGTTTCTAAAGGAGTTTGGCCACCGACTCCTACAACAGAAACATCCAGCAAAGGAAACCATTGAAGAGAGCCTGCAATACTTGGAAGAACTGCGACGTACCTTGACACAAGCATGGGAAGAGCAACGACAAATGTTGACACAGTGCTATGATTTACAGGTAAGTTGGACAACACAGAGCTCTATTTCAAGAAACAGAATCTACCATGGCATTATGTTATTATAGCTGAACAAAAGTATCCTGACACTATAACACAGTTTTCATCAAGTTATCTATGTAACTTTTAGAAAAGAACAATTTTCAAATAGATATTCTATAAACTTGCTTTTCACTTAAATTCACATTCTAAAAATGAACATGACCTTGAATTAACTTTGTAAGAAAGTGCTCTACTTGTGAAGTCTTGTCGTTAATTATCTTAAAAATGAACTATACTTGTCAGTGTAACCTTATAATTACCTATAATAAGAACTTTCTACTAAAATACTGAAATTTTTTTGTTTGACTTCATTGATATTTTTCTTTGTTCCATTCCAGGTGTTCAAAGAACATGCTAAACAAGCAGAAACATGGTTAGCATCAAAAGAAGCATTCTTGAACAATGAAGATCTTGGGGTAAAGATATTTATAATGTACATTTAAATTGTGCATTTTTAAGCTCAGTAAACTGCTAATTATCAATATTAATTTTAAAAATATTTATTTGCTGTAACCCAACCACCCATCTGAAATTGGGGCCGACTGAGAGATTTTTTGACGTTATGACCTGAGAAATTTTTATTTTTACCAATTTCTGCTGATATTCCAACCCATCTAGCAAAATTTGACGACATTAAAATTTTTAGCACTATATTATGGTTAGAATATTTTTCTCAGAAATTCATGTAGTCTGCGACAGTGTAGGAGGGTAGCACCTGATTACCACTTGAAAACTCAGTGCTGATTGGCCAATGCATTGAAGTTTAACAACATGGCTTATTTCATCCCTTGGACTCTTCACGCTAAAATAATAAAGGCATGATTTAGCAGTGGAGAATTTACTTTTGTCAAGCAT